ATTTTTAGTAAGTGGTGGAATGATTTTAAAGTATATGTTTCCATTTAGTGCCTAGTAAAGGTAAGTTAGAAACATCTTACGTGTATTGGTCAACTGCTACATGCAGTGCCTGCCACTTGGAACTCCATATACATCATTTATTTAATGCTGAAAACAACCCAGTGAAGTGGGTGTCAGTTTTACAGAGGGGGAAACTGAGGTTCATAGGGCCCAGGATCTGTGTGGATGTGAAGCTCATTTTCTTTGCTTTGTACCACATGTACGATGTGATCACGAGTTCATTCTGTGGTGACTTGTGGTGCAGGCAGCTGTCAGGGAAGTGAGGGCTCATGTCTGGACGCTTGAACGGGGGGCGCTGGCAAGCATTCCTTCTCCTCTCCCTGGTTTCCCAAATGTTCAACCGTTTCCTCATCTGTGTCACAGAGGTGGGGGATGTGACTTCAGTAAGGAAAATTACTTGACAGCCTCCTAAAGAATGAATGTCCAGGGGTTCCAAGCACAAAATTGGATCAATTACAGTTTAGCACCCCTGGTATAAGAGAAATATACCCATCCTCCTTTATATCAACTAATGATTTCAAATTCTCTTAGAACACATGTCTAAATTGTTACATTTTAAAAACTTTATACGAATATTTGCTCTACTAATAAAAATTACAAAAAAAATCAGTTTTGAAAAACTTGCCTTACACTGTTCTTTTTCCTCTTTGAAAAGACGAGGATTTTTCTTTAATTAGTATTTTCTTTTTGATTCTTTTCTTTTTTGCCTCCTTTGGCATTGTTGTCAGAATCCAAACACTAGATTGGACAGTTGAGCCTCTATAGCAAGTCTCCTTCCCTTGCCCAGAATTTGGACTCTGCTGATTCGGCAAGACAGGGAAAGGGAAATGGGATGAAGGCCAGAGGTAATTTGTTTATTGTGAGCTTTTGACTTCCCTAAGACTGAGATTTGAGAGCTCAAAATTTAGCAAGACAGGCAAACAAATACAGAAACATGAAAGCCTATTGTCTTTTTAAGTTCCTCGATAAGGCATGTGAGCTTGGAGTCGACTTTTCATGAGGTTTTATGGCATTAAATGTCCATAAACAGCGGTGAGCTTGTCTGTCTTGTTTTAATGGGATTTTTCTTTCAATATATGATTTTTCCTTCAAAATGAAAGAAGCTTTTGCTGACTTAATTTTCTTAAGTAAAAAGAGCGTTTACATATAACCAGTTGAAATTGAAACCACACAAAGGAGCCTCTCGTTTGCCCAGCATTATGGGAAAGACATTTTTCCTATTGCTCTGTCTTTCAGCGAGTGGCAGACCTGGAGCAAGAAAATGCTCTCTTGAAAGATGAAAAAGAGCAGCTTAACAACCAAATCCTGTGCCAATCTAAAGGTAAGTACCAAGGCGCTTGAGTTTTGGTTTGGGTTTTAATATCTTTTCCTCGCTGATTTTCCCCCAGGACTCCTAGCAAGCATAGAATTAGTCAAGATGCTGCAGTGGGGAAAGGGCTTTAACAGAGGAGAGATAAAAACAAGAATGGTGTTCTTTAATATCCTGCTGTGACGTTTGGTTTCAAGAGTTTAAAGAGGTGAGACACATGCATAATGGACAATATCACGCATAGGGCTTAGAATCAGACCTGCACTCAAAGCATGAATCTGCTGTGTGCTACTGTGTGGCTTTGAGCAAGTCCTCAGTTTCTTCATCTGCAAAATGGACATGAAGGTGTGGACCTCAGAGGACTCATTTGAGGTGTGAGCAAGATTCCACAGATGAAGTACTTAGGATTGTGCTTCACACACAGTGAGTGCTCAGGACCTGTCATGACTGCTGTGTTTCACACTGACCTTTAGCATCCACAATACGTGTCATAGTTCCTTCTGCCCGTGGGTCATCTGTTAATGTTTGCTCCAGAAAGGGTCTTGAATCAGATCCCGAGTCAACCTATCTCAAGCACCCCTCAGCTCGTGGGCCACCTTCAATCCCCATGTGTTACTTGGCTGTGGAGGAGTGGTGGGTGTCCACAGACACATTTTTGCCCAACTCATTGTGACCTTAAGCACGTCCCCTTCTCCCATCCTCAGGTTCCTCACCTGTATTGTGAGATAACTGAACCACAAGATCTCACAGTCTCGTCCAGCATAAAACCTGTTGAAAACACAAATGTTTTTAAATTTCACTCTAGAAATTTTTCCTTTCCATTAATATGAATAATACGTTTTGGTATGGGATGTTGTCTCTTTGCCTTCCTTTCTTCCCCCTACCTGATTTTTGGCCTTATCTCCTCAAATATCCTTTAATTTCCCCACACTCCAAGAACCTGAAAGATCAGGAATAGGAAAGAAATGTGGAGCAAAACCTTGGTTCTTTCCGGAATGCTACCAGTAGCTGGTGTGACAGTTGTCAGAAGAGAGGCCAGTGCCGTCACTGAGGGGGGCTCTCACAAACGCTGCTGACTTCTCTCCACCGCATTCCCTAGAGCAAGGTCCCTTTCTCCCCTTTTGGAAGACTTAGGCCAGACTAATGGGCTTCCTCTTTGCCCTGCAGTAGGTGAAGATTCATCAACTGCCTCTGTGAAGGGCTGCTGGTGGGCAGCCTGTTAACCAGACGTTGATCAGAAAGCACGAGTCAATACATGTGAAGGGGCCCATTCAGAAGCAAAACCGCAGCTTTGTGTGCTTGCTTTCCAGATGAATTTGCCCAGAACTCTGTGAAGGAAAACCTCCTGATGAAGAAAGAGCTGGAGGAAGAGCGATCCCGGTACCAGAACCTCGTGAAGGAATATTCACGGTTGGAGCAGAGATATGACAACCTTCAGGACGAGATGACCATCATCAAGGCAAGGAGGGCAGTTCTGCTGAACACATAGCACCAGTCCCCTGGTTCCCATCTGGCTTTGTGACCCTTGCTCTCATGCATTGCTTTCTGACACTCAGGAAATTTTGTGTACATTGCGCTGCCTTCCAGAAGCAGGGCTGGGCGATTCATTCCGCAGGACAGCTGCTTTTTCAACTTTGGGGTCTTATAAAGATCTCAGTTATGAGTTTAAGGAAAATTCCACCCAAGCGTATGTGTTATCTTTGCTGTTTCTTGTTCTGGGAGGATCCTTGTGTTGAAACAGAAACCGTGTGGGGGCATTGCAATCTCAGCTTCATTAGTGTATATGGCACAGAAGCCCTAAAGAGCCTGATTGTGCCTTCTAATCTCTGATGAAACACAGTATATGTAGAAATATTTTCATGATATTTCAGGATTTGTCATTCTTTTTTACCCCTTATAAATATTCCCTCCAGAAATGCATATTCAAACAAGATTGAATAAGTTAATTGCACAGAAACCAGGAAGAGAAGCTGAGTAGGAACATATATAGAAGTCTAAAATTTTCCTACCAAGCTCAGCTTGCACTCTGAAAGCCCAATCAGATGCCAGAAATAAACCAAAAGGTATTTTTAAATGAACAGTATAAATGGTAAACTCTGTTTCTAATATGCTATTTTTGTAAACACAATTGGTGGAGTGCAGGTTGAAGGGAGGGGCCGCTCCAGGCAAGCTTGTAACATTCTTTTCAAGAGGGAGGCGGGTAATGTGACTGCTTTTGTGCATTTGCAGGCAAGAACTGGAGTGAAGGGTTGCTTCCCCAGGACTTCTCAGAGAAATCAGCCTAGGTGTTAAGGATTTGCTTTTCGTTCAGAGACAAGGGAACACGATCCTTACTGTGCAGCTGTGTTCTCTTCTAATTGTCATGTTTTCGGTCAGTCAGATGGATGACTGTAAGAGGTGGTGTAGGTGAAACGTGTTGTAGGAGTAGCTCTATTTAGCCATCATTCCATTAACGAGTGCTGCCTGTTCTTGTTGACAGATGAGGTGGAAGGTCAACTCTAGGGTCTGCTGCCCTTTGAGAAATACATTCTTATTCATATTAGTTCGTTATGAACTGTCACATTTTTCTCCTTGAACAGCAAACCCCAGGCCATAGGCGGAATCCATCAAACCAAAGTAGCTTAGAATCGGACTCCAATTACCCCTCCATCTCCACATCTGAGATTGGAGACACTGAGGACACCCTGCAACAGGTGGAGGTAAGCAGTGCAGGCTCTCGGCTGCCATCGTGCTCTAGGGGAGTGTTTATTACCTGTGCAGGGCTGCCCAACAGAGACTCGCTATTCTGTTGGTAGTGACCAGAGTGTCCAGGGGTTAATTCTCGAGAGCAGGATCATTCGGACTGCAGTGATTTATAGACAGTACTCTGGAGTTAACGTGCACTGTGCAAAGCAGTACATTGTTGTTCGCCTTACCCGTTGTCCAGAGAGGAGGGAGGAAGGTAGATCCCTGATTCCTATTGCAAAACTGAGAAACTGGTACAGAGAGGTGAACTGGTTGGCTTAAGGAGCCAAGTCATTAAAATAGATACAAGTTATCATCTTCATTTAGTTTCACAGTGCATATAGTAATACTGATAAATTCACAAGGAAATTGTCCCCCCACCCCCCACCCCACCAACTTAGAAACTGAGTAAAACTCAGAACAGCAACAGATATTTTGAAAGAAAGTGTGCTGGGTAACTGTTTCTTTGTCAGTAAGAGCCTCTTAGAGTCACTATATGATGCACCACACAGTAGACGTTATGGTCTGTGTGCAGTTTTGTCAAAGGTACATAGACACAATTTTTCCTCTGGCATTTGAAAAGAAGATCACGAACACATACAACCTTATGAAAAACACATGAAGGTAGACGTGGAGGAGAGATAGCTCTACANGCTGCTGACTTCTCTCCACCGCATTCCCTAGAGCAAGGTCCCTTTCTCCCCTTTTGGAAGACTTAGGCCAGACTAATGGGCTTCCTCTTTGCCCTGCAGTAGGTGAAGATTCATCAACTGCCTCTGTGAAGGGCTGCTGGTGGGCAGCCTGTTAACCAGACGTTGATCAGAAAGCACGAGTCAATACATGTGAAGGGGCCCATTCAGAAGCAAAACCGCAGCTTTGTATGCTTGCTTTCCAGATGAATTTGCCCAGAACTCTGTGAAGGAAAACCTCCTGATGAAGAAAGAGCTGGAGGAAGAGCGATCCCGGTACCAGAACCTCGTGAAGGAATATTCACGGTTGGAGCAGAGATATGACAACCTTCAGGACGAGATGACCATCATCAAGGCAAGGAGGGCAGTTCTGCTGAACACATAGCACCAGTCCCCTGGTTCCCATCTGGCTTTGTGACCCTTGCTCTCATGCATTGCTTTCTGACACTCAGGAAATTTTGTGTACATTGCGCTGCCTTCCAGAAGCAGGGCTGGGCGATTCATTCCGCAGGACAGCTGCTTTTTCAACTTTGGGGTCTTATAAAGATCTCAGTTATGAGTTTAAGGAAAATTCCACCCAAGCGTATGTGTTATCTTTGCTGTTTCTTGTTCTGGGAGGATCCTTGTGTTGAAACAGAAACCGTGTGGGGGCATTGCAATCTCAGCTTCATTAGTGTATATGGCACAGAAGCCCTAAAGAGCCTGATTGTGCCTTCTAATCTCTGATGAAACACAGTATATGTAGAAATATTTTCATGATATTTCAGGATTTGTCATTCTTTTTTACCCCTTATAAATATTCCCTCCAGAAATGCATATTCAAACAAGATTGAATAAGTTAATTGCACAGAAACCAGGAAGAGAAGCTGAGTAGGAACATATATAGAAGTCTAAAATTTTCCTACCAAGCTCAGCTTGCACTCTGAAAGCCCAATCAGATGCCAGAAATAAACCAAAAGGTATTTTTAAATGAACAGTATAAATGGTAAACTCTGTTTCTAATATGCTATTTTTGTAAACACAATTGGTGGAGTGCAGGTTGAAGGGAGGGGCCGCTCCAGGCAAGCTTGTAACATTCTTTTCAAGAGGGAGGCGGGTAATGTGACTGCTTTTGTGCATTTGCAGACAAGAACTGGAGTGAAGGGTTGCTTCCCCAGGACTTCTCAGAGAAATCAGCCTAGGTGTTAAGGATTTGCTTTTCGTTCAGAGACAAGGGAACACGATCCTTACTGTGCAGCTGTGTTCTCTTCTAATTGTCATGTTTTCGGTCAGTCAGATGGATGACTGTAAGAGGTGGTGTAGGTGAAACGTGTTGTAGGAGTAGCTCTATTTAGCCATCATTCCATTAACGAGTGCTGCCTGTTCTTGTTGACAGATGAGGTGGAAGGTCAACTCTAGGGTCTGCTGCCCTTTGAGAAGTACATTCTTATTCATATTAGTTCGTTATGAACTGTCACATTTTTCTCCTTGAACAGCAAACCCCAGGCCATAGGCGGAATCCATCAAACCAAAGTAGCTTAGAATCGGACTCCAATTACCCCTCCATCTCCACATCTGAGATTGGAGACACTGAGGACACCCTGCAACAGGTGGAGGTAAGCAGTGCAGGCTCTCGGCTGCCATCGTGCTCCAGGGGAGTGTTTATTACCTGTACAGGGCTGCCCAACAGAGACTCGCTATTCTGTTGGTAGTGACCAGAGTGTCCAGGGGTTAATTCTCGAGAGCAGGATCATGCGGACTGCAGTGATTTATAGACAGTACTCTGGAGTTAACGTGCACTGTGCAAAGCAGTACATTGTTGTTCGCCTTACCCGTTGTCCAGAGAGGAGGGAAGAAGGTAGATCCCTGATTCCTATTGCAAAACTGAGAAACTGGTACAGAGAGGTGAACTGGCTGGCTTAAGGAGCCAAGTCATTAAAATAGATACAAGTTATCATCTTCATTTAGTTTCACAGTGCATATAGTAATACTGATAAATGCACAAGGAAATTGTCCCCCCACCCCCCACCCCACCAACTTAGAAACTGAGTAAAACTCAGAACAGCAACAGATATTTTGAAAGAAAGTGTGCTGGGTGACTGTTTCTTTGTCAGTAAGAGCCTCTTAGAGTCACTATATGATGCACCACACGGTAGACGTTATGGCCTGTGTGCAGTTTTGTCAAAGGTACATAGACACAATTTTTCCTCTGGCATTTGAAAAGAAGATCACGAACACATACAACCTTATGAAAAACACATGAAGGTAGACGTGGAGGAGAGATAGCTCTACAAACAAATGTGTTTCACACACATCTTTGTGCCTGGCGCTGCTGGTAGGTGCTGGAAAGACAGTGGTGACTGAGCTAGAGAAGGCCCCTCTCTTCCTGGAGCTTGTCTGATGGAGCGTAAGACAATAAGCCATTAAGAAATAAATGTGAGGGCCAGCCCGGTGGCACACTCGGTAGAGTGCGGCGCTTGAGAGCGCGGCGGCGCTCCCGCCGAGGGTTCGGATCCCATATAGAGACCGGTCCGCTCACTGGTTGAGCGCGGTGCGGGC